ACCACCTTAACTGAGCCTGATGCCAACTGCCTCTGGCTTCATGAAGATCCTGGAAAAGGAGCCAGGGTGCCACATGTTGGCCTCCTGTAAGGGGGCAGTGGCCCTCAATATTGCAACATACCACAGAGTTAGGTAACTCTTGATGGCATACAAGGCATCAGGGTGAGGAGGGGACTCTTCTGCTCTGTTACTTTAGGCCTTATCCCTGCATGGCTTGTCATCTGGAAACCATGGACCACCAGCACCAAAGTAGCCCGTGAGACTAAGTGTCTCGGCCACTCCCCTTGACCCCAATCCTTTTTATACCCAGAAAAAGCATAGTATGCAGGCCCATTTTGGCCACTGTTGGGTCAAAAGGCAATGAGAAGGCAAAAGGTGTGACCAGAATTCCCTTGGGAAATCCTATGTATTGCCCCCAGCATTCAGACGCTATGGTCTAGCGGTGGTCTAGATCACTGCCTGATCGGTACACAATGCAAACTGTGAGCTTTTCTGCAACCACACTGTCAAATGCCAGCCCTATTGCCCGTTTTCAAGGTTATTCTAATTTCCAGGCTTTAAATACCTCTGCCTCTACCTGCCTCCTTTATCAACCTGACATCTTCTGCCTATGAGTCATACATTAGCATTTAGGCAGCCGCTCTTATAGCCCAGAGACGCTGGAGTCTTGGATAAAATCCATTCTTACCCCACAATGAGAAAAAAAAAAAAACAATCCCAACCCTCCAGTCTCCAGCAGGGATAACACCCCAGCATAGGCCATTCCTGGCACAGGGTCAAAGGTCGTAGGCAGCACAGTCGGCTTGGCTTTTGCATACTTACATCTCAGGAGAGGGCAGGAGAGTTGTAGGCTGAACTGCATGCCCCTAAAATTCCTATCCTGAAGTTCTAACCCCCAGGATCTCAGAATATGGCTGTATTTGGAAACAGAGCTTTTAAAGGGGTAATTAAGGGGATCCCTGGGTGGTGCAGCAGTTTGGCACCTGCCTTTGGCCCAGGGCGCGATCCTGGAGACCCGGGATCGAATCCCACATCGGGCTCCCGGTGCATGGAGCCTGCTTCTCCCTCTGCCTATGTCTCTGCCTCTCTCTCTCTCTCTCTCTGTGACTATCATAACTAAATAAAAAAAATTTAAAAAAAGGGGTAATTAAGGTAAAATGAAGTCATAGGGCTGAACCCTCATCCAATCTGCCTGGTGTCCTTGTAAGAATGCATTAGGACACAGACACACACACTAAGGGACAAACATGTGAGGACATAGTCGGAAGGCGGCTGGCTGCCTACAGGTAAAGGAGGGAGGCCTCAGAAAAAAAAAAAACTAACCCTGCTGACACCTTGATCCTGGACTTCCAGCCTCCAGGACTGTGAGAAAATGAACTTTGGGTGCTAAAGCCCCCCACCCTGTGCTATCTATCATGGCAGCTAAAGCAGACTAAAACAAAGGAGAACATAGGTACAGAGCCAGCAGAAGGCTCAGTGACAGCTGCTGCTGGGCTGGGCGGAGGCCCAGGCTCGACCAAGGCTCATGCCCTTAGAAAGCTGGCTTGGTGGCTCATGCCCACGCAACCCTTCAACTCTGCTGAAGGTCTCTGTCTGAACTCTGCCAACTCTTAAATACCACAAGGGTTTATATCAACCACATGCTGGAGGTGCCGGGGGCAGCCTCTAGGATAATCAGCTGTCCTCTGAGCAATGAGACTCCAAGCACTGGTTAGAAGAAGAGGCAGGGGGCAATCCTGCCCACCTCTGACCAGGGGCCCCTGAGAGTCACTCCTAGGAGCTAGCTATAAGATTCCAGAAACCCAACTAGGTTTATTTCCACCAGGATTTGGTGAGTACCTATATGCTGCAGGCATGGAGCTGGGTGATACCAAGATGAATGAACTCAGGGCCCAGTAGGTAATCAGATGGTTAAGCAAGTCATTATTACGCAGTAAGCTACTTGTAATAGTCGAAGTCTCATCTAGATACCGAAGCAGAAAAGGGCAGTGAGTAATCAGCTGTGTCAGGGAGGGGAGGTTCAGTAAAGCCTTCAAAGAGATGGGATTATCAACAGGATTTCCGAGACAGACCTGGAAATAAGGAACAACAGCAAACAAGAGGCTGGGAAAGGCATTCCAGACAGAGTCGCCAGCAAAGCAGAGAGGTTTAAGGATGCACGGGGGTTTCACAGCACTAGCAGCGGTGCGACACTGGCTGAGGCAGGAAATGGGATCATTCTGGCAAGAAGGCGCCAGAGCACACATGGCCTTGTACACTGCCTAAAGAGCTTGGCCTGCATCCTGTAGGGGACAGGGAGGTCCTGGGGAGCTGCAAGCTGGGGAGAGTACCGAGTCCGATTTGTGTTTTACACAGGCTGCTCAGACAGCAGGGCCGGTGGACCTTGGGAGGAACGTCAATGCCAAAATCCAAGCATGAAATAACAAAGGCCAACCCTGTCTTCAGGCAGGCCCGATCATTTTGTCAATGAGCCTTGGTGAATGACACCCATGAATTCCTGGAGGTTTGAGCAAATGACCTAGTAAGAGGGTGAGGGGAGAAACAAAGCAGTTTCCCTGGACCTTGAGGGTTTTATATTTTGTTACTTTTATTTTTTTTTTTATTTTGTTATTTTTAAACAGCCAAAGAAGCCACCAAATTCACACTAAGATAAGAATAACCTCACTAGCGGCCCATCCAAGGTTGGTTTTATTGTCTACTTGGCCTACTTCCCACTCAAGCTCCGTCATCGGTGATTCAAAACCTGATCCTGACACAGAACTAGGTTGCTCTTCCCACTTTGATCTGCCAGAGAGCCAGACACCCCCTCAGCCATCAGCTCTGATACTGCACAAGGGCTTAAAAGTGGCAAACATGACAATGATCAGGACTCCAATTTAGAATCTTGAGCCCGACTATTTCTGGAACGACCCACACCCTTAGTATGTCAACCGCCTACCCTTGGAGTCCATTCTCTTGTTGGCCATGGACCTGACCACTCCCCTCAGTAGGGAGTATCCTACTTTGAAGCTGAGACTGGGCAGGGAGCAGTGGGGGCGGTGGCCTGGGAGGCTCAGTCTGTTGAGCATCCAACTCATAACATAAGACGTTTAAAAAAAATGAAGCTGAGACTAGGTCACATTCATTTATGTCACTTTCTTCAAGGCACCTTACACAGTGATGTAGAGACAGATTATCAGAGGGGCATTATTGCTTATTAGCTGTGTGACCTTGAACAAGTTACTTAACCTCTTTGAGGGTCTGTTTCTTCCTCTGTAAATATGGAAAATAACAGTAATTTTCCTCTGTAAATATGGAAAATAACAGTAATTTTATCTTGAGGTTATATGATAAGATTAATATACATAAATGCTAAGGGCCAATACTTGTATTTATTAAGGGCTTATGATGGAACAAGGAGAAGCAGGAGAGGAAAAAAGGGAGGAGGAGGAGGAGGAGGGGAATCCAACGGTCCTGGGTTCAAATCTATGCCCACCCAACTTGCTTGGCTGTGTGACCTTGGGCATGTCATTTCACCTCTCTGACTCATGGTTTCCTCTTCTGTCACATAGGGATAATATTGCCTACCCTACAAAAGGATCTTAGTTAAGATAAACAGATAAGAAAGCGCCTAACACTAGGCTTGCCAGCTCTAGGGCATTTCAGAAGTAAGCCTGAAATCAAAGCCTCTGATTTCTCAGCCCTGAATGGTGCTTAGGGAAGAATCTACCCTTCCTGAATTCCCCAGCTCTACCACTCAGAGTGGGCTGAGCATGCTGAAGTAAGGAGAGCCAGTTTATAGGAAGCCAGGCCTCCCACCGCTCTCCTGTCCACAGGGACACTGCTGTCCTTCATCACTTTCAAAGGGAGGCTGCTGAGCAACCTGCTCTGCAGGGAGAACTCAACTCTGTTCTCTGTGGACAAAGGAGATGGGAGTGCCAGGCTCATCTTTCCCTGAACCCGAGCATCTTCACTTGTGAACCAGAAGGCAGTAGTACCCCCTCCAGCCTGGCTCAGGAGCATGGCCAGCAGATGGAACAAGCAGTTGGTGAGGAGATCCTAAAGCGCTAGTCCCTGACATCTTAGGACCCTCCACAGAACGAGAGTTATTTTAAGCTCTCTTTTTTTTTATTTTTATTTTTTTATTTTTATTTTTTATTTTTTTTTATTTATTTATGATAGTCACACAGTGAGAGAGAGAGAGGCAGAGACATAGGCAGAGGGAGAAGCAGGCTCCATGCACCGGGAGCCCGACGTGGGATTCGATCCCGGGTCTCCAGGATCGCGCCCTGGGCCAAAGGCAAGCGCCAAACCGCTGCGCCACCCAGGGATCCCTATTTTAAGCTCTCTTAACCCAAGGCCTGAGCATATGAGGGAAATGGCTCCAGGACAAGGACCAGAAAGCTTTGTAAGGTCTCTTATTCTGCCAGAAACACAATTAAAATGTAAAAAATTTAAAGCTCACCTCTCCTGGGCTCACTTTGTGCTAGGCTCTGGTTTTAAAAGGAAGACAAAGCAAAACCCCAAACCCTCAGATCAATGGATCACAACTAATGCTGGCCCCCTCCCACCCTGTCCTGGGCAGTGCAGGGACTGAGCTCCAGCGTGGAGAAGCAATCATCTTTGCTTCCCTGCCAACGGTTTCAGGTTGGACAGAGGAGGCTAGTGTTGAAATCTGTTTCTTTTTTTAACAAGGAATGGGGCAGGGAAACTAGCCAAAGTGCAGATTTGCCTGAGGTCCCCACCAAGCATCCACAAACAAAGCCAGCAGACCTCAAATCCAAGGGACATAATGCACTGAGGGAGGCGAGAGCCCTGGGAGGGCAGGCTACTCATTCCCTGGAAGCATCCCTAAGCTGGGGATGCAAGATCAGGACCCCACAGTCTCCCAGTAGTTTCTGTGTCAGAACTAAGGGGTCAAATGCAGAGTCAGGCATTAGCATACATGCATCTACTATGAGACCACCAAGCCCACAACTCACCCCTGAAACAGAAAAGCTGTGCCCACTCCCCAGTCTTACTTCTGCTAGGCAGCTCCTCTTGGCCCAGGCTGTTGGAGGGAGCTAGTGGGGCACTGCCACCCTCGTCCAAGGTCAGGATGAGGGGAACGTCGTCATCTAAACTCACAGCCATGCTCTCCTCGACAGTAGCCCTCAGGATGCGATGTCCAGAGCTTTAAATAGTCTCTGCTTTGAGCTCCCTTTCAAAGCCACTGGCCCAGAGGTGCTTCTCAGAAACTCCTCCATCAGAAGCATCTTCTAGGGTTTGGGGAATAAAAAGAGAAAAACAATCATCAAAACACAACCACTACTGACGAAAATGTTCTGGAATTAGACAGTGGCAATAGTTGCATAACCATGCAAATGTACTAAAAACTACTGAATTGTACCCTTTAAACCGGTGGATTCCTTATGGTATGTGAATTATATCTCAATAAAGAGTATTACACTAATAGCATTAAAATATGGAGAGGGGCTCTGTAAGAACAAATACTGGAAAATTAAACATAATTATGGCTGGAGATTGAGGTTATGGCTAATACGTTCCACCTCTATCCCTCTTTACCCTGGTTTATGTGTTTTGTGAAGATTTTTTTTGTGTGTGTGAAGATTTTAAAGACTTAAAAAAATACAATCATTAAAATAATAGTAGTTCATACTCAATGAACACTTACTATGTAAGGGGCTCTTCTAGCAAATTTTAAGTAAAACTGATTGAAACTTCGTAAGTAGGATTATTAACCCCCCCTCCTACAGAGTAGGATATTCTAGGCTCTAAGAGATTAAGTAACTTGCCCAAGAACTGACAACTGGAAAGCCAAACTTTGAACTTCATTGTCTGGCTCCAGACCTGTTATCCTATCCACTACACTACATTTTCTCCAAGACCCATCCTGGGTATTTACAGAGCATCTAGCTTCAACGACGTGCAGCGTTGGCATGCCAGGTTACCTACACATGCCCCTATCATTCTCATATAGGCACTATTCTCCTAGATTTAGGTGTTTTAGAGGAAGGAGAAGAGTATTTTTTTAAATGCTGCCCAGTCACACAACAAAGGCACTCATCCTGGACTCCCAACTTTAAAACACTCAGAACTCGCCTGTTACAGTTCCTATTTATACACATTCCCATTTCCGCTGAGTAGGACCAAAAGCAAAGACTCAGCAGATCTGACAGCAGACCTTTGAACTCGGAAAGAGCAGCAGGTTCCTTCCTCAAACTGAGGCCTTCTGGGCTCAATCAAGTCGGCCTCCAAATTCACCCACTAAATGGCAACCTGGCAATTTGCTTCTTTTTGCACATCACCAGAGGAACCCTGGCCAGGTCCTTTCCGTCAGTATCTTCTTAAAACTAGGCAGCGAAAGTGAGCACCATTCAGTTTGCTAAGCCTGTAGCTCTCTGCCCAGCCAACTTCCTGTAAGACTTTTCAAGTTTCCCCCAGGTCTGGAGATTAATTTTCCTTTGCAATCTCAATAGCGGGGAGACAAAAGAGGAAATCCCAAATGAGACGCTACCATCCGGCTGTCTTAAGAATTAAATGTTTTATTTGCTCTCTTTTCGGTTTAACTTCTTACCACAGATATTTTCAAACATACTCAAAAATAGAATATGTAAATGAACTTCCTTGTAGCCTTCACTCCACTTTGACAATGAACATCTTGTCATCCTCTCCTGCTTTTTTTATAGGCGAGAGAATCTATCCACCTTCTCAACTCCATCAAGAAGGTTTCTAAATGTTACCAATGTTATTATAATGGCTAGAAGGTTTTTTTTTTATTTTAATGTTTAATACATGACTGTTGGGGGACCCCTGGGTGGCTCAGCGGTTGAGCATCTGCCTTTGGCCCAGGGCGCGATCCCGGAGACCCGGAATCGAGTCCCACGTCGGGCTCCCTGCATGGAGCCTACTTCTCCCTCTGCCTGTGTCTCTGCCTCTCTCTCTTTCTCTCTCTGTGTCTCTAATAAATAAATAAATAAATCTAAAAAAAAAAAATACATGACTGTTGGTTTGCAATGCATGCAGTATCTTAGCTCTGTGGATCTCAACCCGAGTGACTTTGCCCCCTCCCCCCACGGGAGGCCAGCAGCATACATTTTGAGACATTTTTGATTATCATAACTAGCGGGTGGGGGTGCTGGTAGGCAGAGGGCAGGGATGCCCCTAAACATCCATCCTACAATGCACAGGGGAGACCTAACACCAATATAGAAATACGTAGCTCAAATGTCAGTATCGCTGCTGTTGAGAAATCCTGTTTAGCTAATATCCCCACTTCCCAGATGAGGACAAGTGGGGCTTAGAGGGGTTAACTTAACCCACCTTTACAAGCTCGGGTAGAGCCTAGAGCTCACCGTGGGCAGTCTGAGATCAGCGGCCCTCCCCACTTAACCATTACCCTCTAGCTCCTAGCAGAACCAGGCCCCTGATTTCAATTCAAGCCCATCATTTTGCAGAGAGGGAAAAAGTGAGGCCCAGAGTGGAGAAGGGACTTGCCCAAGGTCACACAGTGCAGGACTCCTGAGTCCCAGCCCAGGGCTCCTCCGGCGGGCTCGGCTTCTTCCTCTGCAGGGCACCCAGAAGGGAAGGGTCACCCGTGGGGACAGGTCCCAGGAAAGCGGGCCAGCAGCCATCCCTGCCCCGGGTGCGGGTACGAGTCCCCGCGGGCGCCCGGGAGCTGAGCAGCCGACGGGGTGCGGGGCGGGCTCCAGCTCCACGGGCTCCAGCTCCACGTGCTCCCCGCCCGGGTCCCGGGTCCCGGGTCCCGGGTCCCGGGTCCCGGCCCCGCGCGGGGGTCGCCCCGGTAAGCCGGGGGCCAGGAGAGGGCGCGTCAAGCCCCGGCCCGGGCCGGAGGGAGGAAAGCGCGGCGAGGACTCCCGCAGCCGGTCCGGTCCCGCTCTGCCCGCCTCCCCCAGCCCAGGGCGCAGCGCGAACCCTCACTCCGCGCCCTCTGACCCCTGACCCCTGCCCTCTCGGCCAGGCCGTCGCTCGCACCCCTCGGATTCTTACACGCGCCGCCCCAGCAACCTGGACCGCGCGCCGGGGTCCGCACCGCGCAGCCCAGCCCGCGGGCGCCGCCGCCAAAGCCCCGAGCTCGAGGCTGTTGCAGCCACCGCAGGCGCCGCCACTTCAGCCGCTGCCACCACGGCAGCTGCGCCAGCTCTCCCATCCGCCGCCTACCGTCCCTTCCACCCCGTCGGCCCCGCCCCGTTTCCCCTTTGCCACGGCCTATTGGCTAGCGAGGGTGCATGATGAGCTGTGATTGGCCAAGCGTCACGTCCTTCCCCCAGTTCTCTCCCGCTGCTGATGCGGGACTCCCTGCCCCCGTCCTTGGGAAGGGGCGGGACAAGGAAGCTCCGCCCCCTTTCCCCTCCCACCCTCCCCGCCTTACTCGTTCAGCCCAACCCAGAGAGAGTCCTGGGTCTTTCGATTGGTTGGAGGGCCCGAGAGGCGGTGCTTCTGATTGGTCAAGCCTCAGGAGGTGGGGCGAACTGAACGGAACAAGAAATTGAATGGTGAAAAGGAAAGTCCGTCAGATACCGAGTCCCTCCCCCCCGTGATTGGCGGGTAACCTAGCAACGCAGGCACAGCGGAGGAAACGGCTCGGAGAAATCTGGTGCCCTCGGAGCAGGTGAGTTTGGCCGCGTGGGGAGAAGGGCCGGGAATGAGCGGGAGATGTGCAGGGGGTCCAGCCTGCTATCCTTTGGCTGCCCGAGGAATCAGCAGCCCTCACCGCGGGCCCGCCCCTGCCCCAGAACCGTGCTCTCCAGCTCCTGCCTCGGTGCAGAACTCCCTCTCAACTCCTTGCCAGAACGCCTGGCATCTTGTGGGTCCCTGCCCCTATTCCGCCCTTCCATTACCACTTCATCCTTAAAGCGTGGAGGATACTAGCCAGGTGGAGTCTCATCCTAGTTAGCTAATTTCAAGTCAAACAGAGGCGATGGGGATGAGAGGGTAGTTTATAAGTTCCCTACCATTCCACCCAAAGGCCATGAATTCCAGGATGAGCATGCGACGAAAGGCATCTCACTTGAGTGAATGTTCAGATTAGGTCATTTCGATTATTACCAGTTTTTGCCTTGTGCTAACAGCCTTAGAACTGAACTCCCATTCTTGGCCTTAGCATGTGATTTCGTCGTACAGACTTCATTCAAAAGGTTTGTTGTAAGGATTAAATGAGGCAAGACATCAAGAAGCTTGGCATGGAGCTGAACGACATATCAGTGATCAGTAAATACCGGCAATTCTTTTTCTTCCTACGGCACATTTGCCCTTGAATCTTCCTGCTTAAAATGGATCAGGGGGAGTCATCTCTTTCCGTACCTTAAATATTCATACATTCAACAAGGATTCACTGAGTGCCTACTCCTGGAGGCTGGGGTAAAGCAAGCAACAACAACAACAACAAAACCTTCATTTTTCCACTCATGGAGCTGTCTAATGGGGGAGGTAGTCATTAATCCAGAAATATATAGATATATGTAAAATTACACCTGCAGAGATTCATCTCCAGAATGGTGCAGCATGGAGGTCAACCAATCCTTTCCTTAAAAAGCAGCTCTAGGGACGCTGGGTGGCTTAGCGGATGAGTGTCTGCCTTCGGCCCTGGAGTCCTGGGATTGGTCCCACATCGGGCTCCCTGCATGGAGCCTGCTTCTCCCTCTGCCTCTCTCTCTCTCATGAATAAATAAATAAAACCAAAAGAAAATTTTTTAAAAAAAGCAGCTCTAGTCCATCAATGGATGAATGGATAAACAAATTGTAGTAAACACACAACGGAATTAGATTCAGTCTTTAAAAGGAATGAAATTCTGATAAATGCTACAAGAATTGAAGACCATGAAGACATAATGCTAGGTGAATATAAGTCAGTTACAAAAGGACAAATATGTGTGATTCCATTTATATAAGATACCTAGAATAGCCAAATCATAGAGACAGAAAGTAGAATAGTGGATCGAAATGACAATATACACTACAACATGGATGAACCTCAAAAATATCATGCAAAGTCGGGATTTCTCAACGTTGGTACCTTTTGAGTTGGATAATTGTTTGTTATAGGGGCCCATTCTGTGCTAGTGTTATTCCCAGCCTCTATCCACTAAATGCCAGTAGTACCCCTCCTAGTTGTGACAACCAAATATATCTCCAAAATTATTGTCAAATGTCTCCTGGAGGCCAGAGTCATCCCTGCTTAAAAATTACTGTGCTAAGTCAGATGCAAAAGATTACATACTGTATAATTCCATTTATATGATTTCATTTATATGATTTATCCAGAAAAGTTAAATCTGGGAATGGAAATACTTTGCCAGTTAGCTCGTGGGAATTTTGGGGAGTGACAGAAATTTTGTGGTGATGTGGCATAACTTTGAACATTTACCAAAAAAGTCATTGAGTTGTACACTTACAATGGGTAAATTTTATGGTTTGTAGATTATACCTCAATAGAGCTGTAAAAAAAAAAAAAGTACACCCATCAGATCAGTACCATGCAGAAAAGGTGCAGAGGGTTTTCCGAGATTATGGTGCACTTAAAAAAAAAGAATTTTTAATTTATTTATTTGAGAGAGAAAGCATGAGCAGGAGGAGGGGCAGAGGAAGAGGGAGAAGCAGGCTCCCTGCTGGGCAAAGAACCTAACTTGGGGCTCAATCCCAGGACCCTGGGATCATGACTTGAGCTGAAGGCAGAGGCTTTATGGACCCAGGCACCCCCATAGTGCACTTTTTTTTTCAATCTGGGGAGAGGCTGCCACTGAGCTGAGACTTGAAGGTTGAGAATTAGCTAATCTAGGAGTTGGGAATTGGTTTCTGGCAAAAGGAACATTTTGTGGGAAGATCCTGATGCTTTGAACACTTTAGAGACCAGTGTGGCGACAGCACAGTGAGAACAGGAGGGCTTTGAGGTCGGCTGGTCAGATAGGTTGAAGCCAATGAGAAGGAATGTCATCACAGGAGTGAAGGGGCTTCATCCTTCTCACTCTGTGTGTCCCTGCCCCCATCATGGCTTTAGTCACCATCTGTAAAGTAACAGCTCTCATATTTCTGTGTCTTGAAGTCTACTCCAGATACCCAACCACACCTGCACATCTCATAGATGTCCCATTCAAGTGGCTGGTAGTCTACACATATATAGCGCCTTGGTGTGAATTAGGAAGAGGTGCTCCCTCCAGGCACACACAACCCCACAGTTTACAAGTCTTGGCAAATAGATAGCAAGTTCTACCATCAATAAACACCCCAAGCCCCTCAACCTCTGCTTGTCTTATAAGGTTCACCCTTTGAGTAAACACCAAAACAATCCATCCAGCAACCTGAGCCAGCACACTAGACATCATCCCTCACTTCTCCTCCCCCATCTCCCATATCCAATCCTTCACTTTGTCCCATTGATTCTGCATTCTTTATGTTTCTGGAGTCCACCCACTGCTTTCTCTCTTGTTAAGGCAACCCTCATCTGTTCCCTGGACACCGTGACAGCCTTCCAAACCTGCTCCTCTTGTCAATTGCACCCACCAACCATTTTACCACAATTTCCCAGGCTGTAGGTCTAGTCTTGTCACTCACTCCCTGCTTAAAACTCCCACCACCCCCAACCCAAGCCTTTGATTCCTCCTCTTGAGCAATGAGGGAAGCTGTTGTGGCAGGACTTTCTTTCTTAAAGATTTGTTTATTTATTTGAGAGAGAGAGAGAGAGAGACTGAGTGAGCATGAAGAAGGGCAGCAGGAGAGGGAGAGAGAATCTCAAGCAGACTCCATGCTGATCACGGAGCCCAACTCAGGGCTTAATCTCTCAACCCTGATATCACCACCTGTGCTTAAACCAAGAGCCAGACACTTAACTGGCTGAGCCACCCATGTGCCTTGTGGCTGAATTTTCTAACCAGTCAAATCAGGATGATTTCCTTAATCCCTGGGACTCCTGTAAGTGGTTGAGAGGAAGTGACAATAGAATCATAGCTGGATAACCAGGCCAAGTCAGGACAAAAGGCAAAGTAGTGACAATGGCAGGAAAGGCAAGCATGAGAAGGCGAGGTCTGAGGTCACTGTTCATGCCTCATCTGAATATACCCAAGTAGTTAGTAGAAAGCAAGAATCCACCCCACCATTCCCTTTCCCAGACTCCACCCTACCCCCAGAAAGCCCCAAATGACCTTAGATTGGAAACAGTGGTAACAGAGGCGACAGAATCCCAGCATCAATCCCCCGACCTCTAGGCTAAAGAGGCTGCCCAGGCATCCCAGACAGAACTCTGCCCCAGCCTTGTGCAAGGCATCCCTCAGGAACATTCTAGGCATACATGGTCAGACATAAATGCCGTCACTGTAGCTTGGGTCTTCACTCCATTTATGGTGAAAAATTGAATTAGAGGGGTGAGTCTTCTCTGCTCAAGTGCTAAATTCACCCCCACACTTTTTTCCCTAGGAGACAAGAGCTCAAGACAATGAGGCACCACCGGATTTATGCCGCAACATATAATAATTATCACTCCCCTTTGAAGAGGGCTTTTAACTCTCAAAAGGGCTTTCCCATCTAGTAAATCAGCCCTCTTCCACCCAGCTGCCTTTTGATGTGGCTAGGACAGGTGTTGTATTCCCAGGTGCCAGAGAGATAAGGGGCTTGCCCAGACTTATTTCAAGAGCCCCAGCAGGGGAGAGTCATGCCCCTGGGTCTCCTAACACCCAGATTGTGAACCTGATCTTGATTCTGTAACTGATGGCAGCTTTATGTGGCACAGATCTCAGCTTGTCCGACAGAGCTGAGCTAGCCAGGAACAAACTTTCCTTTGAACCTGGATGGAGCACTGGTCTTGGGATGGGGAAGCCAGGAGTTTCATAGAGGGGCAGGGCCACTGTGGTCTAGACCTGTGATTTTCCACCAGGGGCATCCCCTGACCTGCCACTCCCACCCCACAGGGATATTTGGCAATATCTGGGGGCATTTTGTCTCCTACTGGTCAGAACTGGTGGTGGGAGAAATGTGCTACTAGTGTCAAATGGGTAGAGGCCAGGGATGCTACTACTAAACATCCTAGAACACACAGGAGGGCCCCCACAACAAAGAATGATCTGCCCCAAAATGTCACTAGGGCAGAGCTTGAGATACCCTGTCCTACACTGATATTTTCTTTTTCTTCTTGTTTTTTATTTTTATTATT